GAAGGTTCATGGACAGCGCGCTTTCAAAGTCGCCCTTCAGCTCAAGTTGTTACAAACATCACTCAGAGGAGAAAGGTGTTACGCTGGATGATTGCCACTGAGGAACGACACAGCGATAAACTTCTCTTCTATAAAGCTGTAGACAACTTTCCTGCGATCTTCAAGTCGGCAACGCGTCGAGCTAACCTAGCAAAAGCTGCGGACTGGTGGCGAAAAAGAGCGAGATATCTTGAAGCTGCGCGTAGTACGACGTCACTTTCGGAGCGTAGAGACGGTGGTCGACATCGTGTTAACCGTAAATGCATTCAAGGTAGAGGACGGCGACCAAGTGCATGGGTTACATGGTTGTATCCGGTGCTTCTGGACGTGTTTGATCGATTAAGGAAGGTTGGCTTAAAATTCGACGCACCACTTCTGCGCCAGGTTGCCCTCAAGCAGTTTCAAGCTCCATCAGCGCCCTATTCAGCTTTCTCTGAAGATGCAAGTGGTGTGCCACTTACAAGCAAAATTACAGCGAGGTGGATGCAAGTTTTCATGGAGAAGCACCAGATAGTACTTCGCGCTCACACGGGTAAGCGACAAGTAAGCCCCGAAAAGCAAGATCAATTTGAACATGAAGTGGCGGTACATCTAGGTCGCCTGAAGCGCGACTTTGAAAGCGGTCGCCTCGATGAAAATGCCGTGGAGAACATCGATGAGACGCATTTTGTTATCGATTTCGATAATGGGAAAACTCTCGGTTTTGTTGGACAGAAGCAAGTCAAATACGCTGACGTAGTTTCAGGTGGACAAGGCATGACTATGGTTGCTCGTATATCGGGAGGTGCCAGTGGATATATCCACCCTCCGATGATGATTGTTAGAAATGCAGATCGAAGTTATCCGGTTCGTGGTGTGGACGATAATGTCGAAGGCGTCTGTTATCGAACAGGACCAAAGGGGTGGATGGACAAGAAATTGTTCAGGGAGTACCTGCAAGAATCAAAAGCTATTTGAGCTGACACGCATGGTCGAACCAAAACGATCTTTCTGGATAATTGCTCAGGACATTTAGCGGAAAGTGAGTGTAAAGAGGAGCTTCAACGGATAAATGCGAGACTGTCCTACCTACCAGCGAACTCAACTGATCTATGTCAGCCAGCTGATTCATTCGTCATTGCCAAAATTAAGGATGCCTGGGCGCGCATGTGGAACAACAAAAATATTGAACTGATAGAAGATAAAGCGTGGCAAAATCAGGTAGGGAAAGACGGCAGCTACTCTGGGAAGTTGAAAAACCCGGGCAAAAAGCTTTTCTTGGAGCTTGCAGCTACTGCAGTAAGAGAGGTGAACCAACAACGTGACGAGAATGGAATTAGCTATGCACGAAAGGCCATGATGCGCTGTAGTCTGTCACTTAGTGTCGACGGGACATAGTCAATCAAGCAGCTTTTTCCACACTTGCAAGAGATCGTGAAGAAGTACCCAGATGAATATGCGGGTGTCGCCGACGAGAAGGGAGCAGATCATTCTAGTGATGAATGCGAGGATCATGAAGCATGGAGTAGAGAGAACGTCGTAGTGCCAGCCGTGGTCATGGATGATGAAGGTACTGAGGCCCTAATGTAGATATGGATACACATTTCGTAGACCAATTTTGCGCTCACAATTAGCATGCCTTCAAAATTAGTCTGTGTCATTTGATGACAGACTATATATTGTAAACGCATAAAAAAAAAACCTTAAGGGAAAATGCCAATTAAGGGCCGTTCAAAGCAACCTTCTCTTGTTTTGATTGTATCTTTTGATCTAGTAAAAAGTAAAATATGGCCTTGGCATCAATCAAAAGCTGACACAATTGTATATTTCCCTGGTTATTGAATTGTTTTACATCAGCTATGGTGCGTTCAGTAGGACAAATTAAAACAGTGCATAAAATGTGACGGCCATGCCAATTAAGGACCGCTTGATTTCACTATGGGCTGCTAAATAATCTCTTATATGATACCTTAGTAGTGGCCAATGAAAATAGATAAGCCTGAAATTCCGAATTGCCTATTGGCTAACCGAACCCGGCCCTTAACTGGTCACCGGCCCCTAATTGGCATTTTACCTTACAAGAATTAGTCTGGGTCAGACTAATTAGCTGAACTTTAGCAGGATTTGTATGATAACTGGAATTTACCGGTATAAAAGTTTAAAGTCGGAATAGAGTAAAAAAAGCAAAAAATGTCTCAGTTTTAAGTCGCTTTAACGGGACTACGATTTATTAAACGGAAATGCTACAGTCCATGCGTCAAATCCGCTTATTTTCCATGTAATACTCCATGTAATGTCCATGATGTAAAATATTTTCATTAGGTAATTTATAAAAATAACCCAGTCGTTGAGTGCAATTATTGTCCAACTCTCATCCGTGTATTGTCCACGATGTGCTCTATGTAGTTAATACCGGTACAATACTGTATACCGGTAGTTGTACCAATCACACCAGCCTTTCATTTGCTTTTCAAACCCAAACTCGCCCCCCTTCGAGCATTGCCGCCGCCGCCGCTCCGTTACCTGCACGCCGCAGCCTACGTCACGAGATCAACCGTTGCTGCAATCGCCGGCCATGTCGCTCAGTCTACCCGCTTCCGCGACGTCTGAGGTGCGTTATCTTGCTGTTTGTGGTCTCTGTGAACGTGTTTCTAACCGTGCGTTATCTATTTGTAAATACAGGGTGGATCGTCCGACTCCTCTTCAGATATCGACACCACGGCTTCCGCAGCCTCCGGCGCGGCTGCAAACTCGGACGACGCCTCGCCTGACACGGACGATTTCAAGCGTCCAGGTATTGTCCAGGTCGTAGACTCTCCCTCCCTTGTGGAGGGCCCCGCAGACGTGACGTATCCGAGCTGGTCGGCGTGGAATGAGTATTTGAAGGCTTACTCGGTAAAGTCCCGCCAGGTCATCCGCATCCAGTCAACGCTTAGTTGCGTATTGAGAAACAAGCGGCTGGGTCAAACTGCGGCAGCAAAGCAGGGAATGGATGTTCCGTACGTACCAGAGACGTGGGGTGCTTACCAACGCACATACATCTGCACACATGGCTGGCCAGCAAAAGACAGGAGCAGCGGATTGCGAACCAAGCACTTCGTCCGAGGATGCGGTTGTCCATTTCGATTTGTGGTGCAGCTCGTGCAAGTTGACGGCTTATGCTGCCTTCGCGTGAAGAACGGTGTGTACCAGCACAACCATGCGGTGGGGACAGCGCAGTTCAAGACGTACGCGGAGAACCGTAGGTTGGACGACACGGACACGAAGGATGCTGTGGACAGCATGGTGATGTACGGTAGAAAGCGCGCACGCATCTATAAGTATCTTCTGGGGAGAGGCGAGAACCTCGTCAAGAAGGATGTGGACAACATTGTGCAACGTGTTAAAGCAGAGATAAGAGGAGGGTTGAATGACGACGACGCTTGCGCCGCAACTCTCGCGGAATTCGCAGCTATTGACGGTAGCGTAGTCACGGTGGACGAAACTGATGCGGGACACTCTGGTGTGATCAGTATGACTTCCAGACATATGCGCGACATGGCTACTAGATTTCCAGAGCTTTTGCTTGTGGACTGTACCCACAAAACGAATCGGTAAGTCCTCCCATGTATTGTGCAATTATCTGTCCATGTATTGTCCATGCTTATTTTAATGTCATGCCCATGTATTGTGCGATTCTTGTCCATGTAATGTGCATTAGATACAACTACCAGCTTTGTACCTTCATGATGATAGACGACAATGGGCGTGGGCAGCCTGTACAACAGTCTTTGCTCGAACGAAACGCCGATTGGCAGATGTCCCGAGCGCTGGATCATCTATTTCGGATTGACGATAAGATTGGCGACAAGGTTCAAGTTATAATGGTCGACAAAGATCTGAATGAGATCCGCGTGTTGCGTCGGTACTTCCCTAAGTCGCGCGTGTTGATTTGCGTCTTTCACGTCATCAAATATCTCCGCACAGCGTCCAGGAAGCCAGAATATGGTAAACTTTCGTCGGACGATCACGACGCCATCGACGCATTAGTCCACAACATGGTATATGCCTTAAGTTCAGAGATCTACGAGACCAATTGGACCTCCATGAAGGCACTTTGCACTAGGACTGGATATATGGCATTTTACAACTACATGGATGAAAACTGGAACACTTGTACGGAGATGTTGCGCTGATTTTGGCTTTTTGCGCGAGATTGTACAGGACGGGCACCGGCGTTCGCATCGTCGGTGTCGAGGCAGCCTCGGCGTCAAAGAAGAAGAAATCTATGAGTGAAAAAATGAAGACAAAGGTTCAGGAACTACTCACTGAAGCGGATGTACTGCTCATTCCTGTAAATTTTGGGAACATGCATTGGTGTGCAATGATCGTGGATGGCAAGCAGAACAATGTCCTGTACTACGACTCAATGAACCTGAAGACGTACAAGGACGTACTGGACCGCATGTCGTGGGATCTGGCTACTACGCTCAGCGACGACTTCAAAGTTGTGTCCGTCAATGGACCGATCCAGACAGACGGATACAACTTCGGATTCTACGTAATGTTGAGGTTTTGGCGATATGTAGACAAGAGTGTGTCGCTGGACGTAACTCCGATTGGTCTAACGCTGTTACGCTTCCGCATCCTTCACTTCGTGCTTCACGGTAGCAAGCCATAATGCAGCTAATACAATCTCATTTCTATTGAAACTGGAATCGACCCGCCTAATGTTCATGCGTATGGTTGACCTCCTGACTTCTGTATACCGGTATGTACGAGAGATGTCAGAGGACTTTCGTTTGCGAAGGTCTAACAACTTCCATTCACTATGGATTTTAAAAACAGTGGTAAGTAATTTATTTCGACAACATGGAAAATAAACTGAGTCGACGCATGGACTGTAGTGTCACATGACGCATCGGCCTTTATTAAAGTATCTAAACGAACTTAACCGAAGCATAGGACTCTAACCAGCCAACACTTTTCATTGTTGCCCCGTGTAGATTTTCAACCGGTACTTGAGGACAATGGCGACTCGCGGCAAGCCGAGCGTGTTTTCAGCCTTTAACCAGCTGCGCGTAAGCGAGGACTTTGACTCAAACGACGGAAGCGCTGAGGAGCGACATCAGGAGCGCAAGGAGAAGCAAAAACAGAAGAAAAAGTCGCGCAACAAAAAGAAGAGCAGGTACTAACCGCTGCTGTTTACTTGCTGCAGCTTGGCGATTGCGTAAGCTGATATGTGTGTTTTGAGTGCTGTAGTGACTCAGCACAGCTCAAGGACCTAGCGTTTGTGTCCGTGTCCAAACCAAAGAAGAGCAAGAACAAAAAGAACAAGTCGGCGACCAATGTGCAGCCCCTGTCCCCTACTGGATCGACAGGTGAAGAGGTGCCAGCTACCAACAGCGGTAGGGAAGCGAAAGAGGAGGCGACCGAGCCAATGCGTTCGTTGGCAGCCATGATAAGAGCGACTTCTCAGCCCCAGAAGGTGAGACGAAAAAGCTCGTGTTGCTGGCATATTTGGCATGATGTTGGCGCTGACTGTTCCGACTTTTATTTTTGTATTGTAGACCGCCACAGTGTGCAATGGTGTCGAGAAGAACCCACATGCGGCAGATCAGCAACAACAACACAAGAAGGTGAGCTTGATCGAATAGCTTGATGACACGCGATTGAGTGGACTTGTCACGGTTTGATGCAATTTAATACCAGGCCACGTCTCCTCCAAAGCAGCAACAGCCTCAACAGAAACCGCAGCAGCAGACTGCAGCGCCACCACAGGCTCCTGTTGTCGCGCCTGCAGCTAGCGTAGTGCAGTCGTCGTCAGAGACGGAGTTGGGCGCTGTGTATGCGCCTTCGCATATTACGATCACTCGCGTGGATGGACAAATGAAGCGCACAGTGGCGGTGACGGAGGTTATGGATCAGCTGCTTCGCTACACTCAACAGAACGCGCAACTTCTTATGGTGCAGGAGCAGCTTGGGGTACGTATCTGCTCATCGTCGCTTGGCCTCCCCCCGTTAACACTATCCTCTACGGCTGTCTAGCATGCGAACCGCAATCTACAAGACCAATTGCAGAGTAGTGCCGGTACGTTTGTCTGTGTCATTTAGCCGTGGCGGTTTCCTTGATCTCATGAAGCGCTTCCGTCTTCCTCTCGACTGCCGATCGACGGGTTTGTGTGTGTGTGTGCATGGTTTCTATTATTTTTGATGGGACCTACAGAGATCATTAACGGTCTGCAGAATGAAGTGACGATGTTCAGGCAAATGTGTCTAAACTTGCAGGCCGAGGTGAGTCGTCGATCTTTTGATCTTGCTAGCCTACCATTTAATGCAGCCGTTTTGCGTCGCAGTTGAAAATGAATTGTGGCGATCAACCAGGTGGCTAACTCCTCTGCGAACTTTTGTCCATCTGTGCAGGTATCGCTACTCCGTTCCAGCACCACCGTGTCGACCGCCCCAGATGCTGGTAGCAATCCCCAGCCACAGCATCATCGCCCACCGCCTGGCATGTCCTGAGCTCGGAGACATCGTAGAAACTGAAGCAACTTTACGTGACCAAGGTATGCGACCAACCACATAACACCCGTTTCCCAATAGAAGCGGATCTTCAACTCCGTTAACTGTACGTACCGTAGCTTTTTGGCTCGTGCGGAGGCCTATTTTACTCGTCATTGTCTCAGTTCCGTCCAGCTAGACTGTTTCACTATTGCACTGACAGGAATGACAGTGTCATGGAAACGGATCGCTGTTAGACTGTACGTGTACTGATGGAGAGCCTTTTCTTTCAAGAGATCTCGCAACCACACACACGCCTTCTTCCGGACAAGACGGGAAGCTCGCTCCTACATGTACACTAGAAAAAAAATCTAATGGAGCAGTAAAAACAGTAAGACTACTACATGTACCTGTAAGTAGTAATAATGAAGCAGATAGGAACCGAGTAAAAAGGGTTCGGTACGCCAGTCACTGCCGTCCAGATTTTGTGCTTTCAGGAGGGGGGGGGGAGCCGTAACTCGAAAGCAGCTGTTGGATCTCTCTATCCGCAGTCGCACCCACGACTATTCCATTCGCGCTTCTCCGCTCCACCGCGAACGCACGCCGTCCGCGTTACATCTTTTTTTTTGGCTTTACAGAACTGTAGTGCATTTCATCATCTTGTCCCCCCCCACCACCATGGTCAGCACCATGAACAGAATCAAGAACAAACTACGCAGTAGTCGTCTGCACAAAAAGGAGGGCGCGTGGGCGCTGGACGAGGACTCTCTGCGTCTCAAGCAGACACAAGACGACGACCCGGTGCGCTTCGACCGCAGCACCACTCTGGCGGACACGGTCAATGTGACGGACGACGTAGAGGAAATGTTTTACGGCCGCAGCACCTCTAATACCTCGTCAGACATGCCGCAATATCGCACGACGGAGCAGCTTCGCGGCAATAACATAACACTCTCAGCATTACACGAAGACGTTGAGGCCAGTAACGTGAGCAATGTCAGCAGTAGCTTCTCGCAATTCTCAGCCACGACGCCCAGCAATTACGCAGCCTCCACTCCAGGTAAGTTCACCAGTACCCACCAAGGGCTTAACACGGCACAGACCACAACGGGTATGTCTCGAGCTGTAAGTGGAGACTTTGAACTGGAACGTCTTCGCTCTGAGGTGTTAGAGGTCAAGGAGGAGGTGAAGGCTATCCGACGAGAAGTCATGAACGAGCTGCACGTGACTCGCTACGACGTTCTCAAGGAGTTGGCGCTTCTCAAGGGCGCCATCGCTCAGTTGACTGCAACGCAGCACATTGCACCCGCATCTGTGTCGTCCACAGAGAGCTCGTCATCAGACCCATTGTCACCTGACGAACGTGCGGCTCTGACCCGTCAGACGTCCACCAAGACGTCGCAAGCCACACGTGATCGCCTCGCTGCGTCTCGTACCAATATCCACAAGACTCCCCCGCCTGCAGCTCGAGCCAGTGTGAGACTGACACAACTGGCCCCAGTGGCGGACAATGCGCTGTCGACGCCATTGAACCCGCAGCAGATCAACGAGATGTTCCCACTCATCGACTCCACGTCGGAGCTCGCCGCTCACGCTCGTGGGCTGACTCCAGGCACACGTACGTGGGCCCTGACCCGCGTGGAAGAGTGGCTGGATGCTCGATATAACTTGGGCAACGACACTCTCCTGGCTGTTGTCGGAGAGGGAGGCACAGGCAAAAGCACCTTCTGTGGTACAGTGGCTCAGCAATTCCGTGGGAATCTATTGGCTGCTCATTGCTGTCAGTTCGACCGTAAGAGTAAGAGCAGTCCCAGGAATGTGCTGCTGTCAATGGTGCATCAGCTTGTGGACAGCTTACCGTCGTTCAAAAACCAGCTGGCCAGACTCAACCTCAAGTATGTACTGGAAGAAGCAGACCCATTCCTACTGGCAGGCAAAGTTCTGGTGGACCCATTAAATGCTGTGGAGGAGCCAATGCACGCGACTTTCATCCTGGTGGACGGAATTGACCAGTGCGCGGTTGGATCGAACGGCCGCAATGAGCTGCTCGAGTTGTTCGCTCAGGTAATTCCTCAGCTCCCGTCCTGGGTCGGATTCCTCGTGTCGTCCAAGCCATCGTCCAAGTTGGCCAAGCGACTTCCTGTGTCGTCGGTCTTGGACTTCAGCGCCAAGAATGGAGCTTTTGTGGCGGATGCGTCTTCACTTGTCGATGACATCGCTCGAAACTTTAGTGATGATGACGCTGCGGAGGCCAAGAAGGTGTTGAAGAAGAAGAGTGGTGGTAACTTTGCATATTTGGAATTCACCAAGCAGGCTCTGTCGCATCCGGGCATAGCAGCGGCAAGCAAAGAAGGTGCAGTACCACTCGAGGTTCTCCACGAGTTGCCGGAGACGCTGTACGACATCTACGCAGAGATCTTTGAGGACAAGTTCGGTCAGGGTCGCGCACGCGTGTGGGGAAAGGCTAAGCCACTGCTACAGTTGGTTGTTGGAGCAGCAGCAGGTCCGTACTCGCCAGTGACAGAGGAGCAGGCCAAGGAGCATTTCAACCTCACAACTGAAGACCTGCGAATGCTTCGTCGATCTTTCGTTGACCTTGTGTCTGTAAAGCATGGCTCTTACCGTATTGAGAGCTCTGCGTTGTGTGCGTGGTTAAGTGATCCTGCTCGGTCTGAAGAGCAGTTTTACTTCAGTGTCGACGATGCGCTACTGGCTCTGCGTAAGATTCGTCGAGTTGGTTCCAGCAGCTCCAGTAGCGGCCACTCTGGAAACTCGTCGGACGGTAAAGCCGCCAAGAACGGTCACGCGTCGTCCCGACCAAGCAACCGAGTGAAAACTTCCAGTAAAACGCACCAGCGAGCTCACACACGTTACGAACCGCGCACCAGCCCGGACTACAAACCCGTGGGCATTCTCAAGCGCAACAAGTTGTAGATCAAATCTCTGTAGGGCTGTTGTGGACTTTTGACCAAAAATAAGTATTCGATGTTTGTTGTCTCTATCGCTGTCGTTGCCGCATTTTCCCTAGTCTGTCGCTCTTGCCGCCGCCTGTGGACACTCGAATAGCAGACAAAATCTGAGCAAAGTTGCCACTACGAGAGGCAACGGATCGAGATGGAGATGAAGCCACACTGATAGTCGAGCCAGCTTCTCGGCCTATCACTTCCAGTGCAGTCCGCAGAAATGCCAGAGCTCCTTCTGTGGTTTCTCCAATACTCAAGATACCGAAGACGCCAGCTGTGAGACTGTCAGCGAGCAGGAAGAGTGTACCTAGAGTTCTCTCCACGTCAAAGCACACACCGTGTAATCTGCAGGCGTGGAAGAAAGCAGTGTACTGCATAGTGATCACGTGCGGGTGGAACACGTACGAGCACGCCACGAAGCAACGCCGAGCCCCTACGAGTGAACTTTTGGCCAGTAAAGCTTCACGCAGCAGCAAGTCCGTAGCGCTGCCACTTTCGCTTTTTCGTCCTGAATTGGCTGTAGTCAGTGACTTGTTGGCCACTCGGTAGACACCTGAATTCGTATCTAACACACCACGAGCGAGCAGGTGGAAACAAGCGAAGCTGGTAGCGGAATCTGTGAGGAACGGATGTACAGCGAGAGCCCACAATCGAGGTGCATCATTGCTCTTTTCATCCTGAAAGACCACGAAATCCAAGCTGACGTAACCCCAGACATTCGTCTCTACTAGTAGCTTTCCCGCGGCGTTGCAAGCACCCTACAAAAGAGTCAAAAACGCCAGTTAGGAACGAATGCACAGCAATGCATCCATAACGGACCTTAATTGCCTCATATGGTGCAGCCGTCTGAGGAAACGTGAACGCCACAGTTTTCCTATTCAGCCCCCCACCTCCAGCTGCCAGCACATTCTGCGTCGACGAGATGTGTACGGAGCCATCCGGGTCTACAAACAGATTCGCGCGCACGTAGGCAGGCTCTACCAGCACCGTTGATGCCTCGGATGAGGCAGCAATGGCTGTAGGAGGGACAGCTTCAACGACACAGCCGAAATGGCCGACGGCATCGATAAACTCCCGCCATTTTGGGAATATTTCGGTTTGCATGGGAGTCGCGATTCTCGCTAGCATTCCCGGACGCTCTAGCTCTGCCAGAATCAGCTTTGCTGCTGCATCGCGAGGGCCTGGTTGGCGCCAATACTCGGGCGTCCGCTTCTCTCGACGCAGCTCACGCATCGCTTGCATGTTTGACAGGTCAACGACCGCTTCGCCCACATCAAGAGGATCGTAGTCCAGCTTAATTAACCACCTCGGTTGATCCATGTGAGCGATAGCAAGCTTGGCGAGCGCTGCACAGACTTCATGTTCATCGTACAGCTCGTAAGTACCATTGGGGACATTTACATCAGCTCGGATCAACAACCGCTTGCCACCCGAGCGAGTGAGCAGCGGCAGAGCTTGAGCTGGCGGCGCACCGAGGATTGGCAGATCCAACGCCATCGCTAGTCGTTGATCCTCAGCTCCAGGTAGCCCCATCACAAGGTAAGCCTCTTTGCCAGTAGTGTAGTGTCGGATGCGCCGCAGACAATGAGGCGAGTAGAGTAACAACGATGACAGCGAGAAATGGGCTGGAAAGCGCGTGGTTTGCTCGGGAAACACTAACTTGACGCGAGGTCTGCTGTCAACAAGACCGCCAAGTTGCAGCAGTTTGAGGAAGTACTGAGAAACATCCGATGTGAGCTCGAAAGGCGACACATAAAGCAGCAGTTCCACGTTAGAGTCCAGTGCAGCGGCGCATACCCGCGTCAGCTGGAGGTTCTGTTGTATGGCAAAGTTCTCAGCACCGAGACGTGAGTGTTCATCGAGCGATAACGACGGCACGTGGACCACAACACGTCGGCGACCAGCAATTTGTGGCCAGTGGGACTTGAGATTGTGCATCCTTTTCTCCCATTTCTCGAGTTTTTCTAGGTGGACTTCTCGTAGTCGAGCTTTGAGACTTGTATGGCAACTGTAGGCTCGCCACGCAAGCTGAATTTTGCTCGCATTGAAGTCGCTGGCACGAGTGCGAGCGTACCTCCGACGGACTAGCCACATACGAACACAAGCTTCGATTGTAGTAGCAGCACGGCGTTTACGATCTCGCCCTTTATACCGTTGGCCTGGACGTCGCAGTACCGACATAACTTGATCTTCATTCACAATACAGGACAGCAGTTCGCGCTTAGAGAATCGAGGTTGGCCTGTACCTGCGAGTGCGAGCAGTCGCTGGCCATCAACGTAAGCCAGAGGTACAAAATACTGCGCGAGCAGAGTCTCCAGCGCTCGCAGAGCCTCTTCTACACTGCCCCAAAGCTCCTGTGTAACGCGACGGAACGAAACAAACTCGGGTGTGTCTCTCATGGTCCGTCCTTTGTGAATCAGAAACTGGTGCAAACTATACACATCCAGCAGTTCGTTGTAACCACGAATTTTATCGACATTTGCCCCCAATTTCTCCATCTCGGCGTATTCGTCCTTGTCATTTTCATCGCTTTCCTGCTCCTCATCGGAGATGTCGTCGTCACTGAATCGGTCTCTATTGTTTTCCGTATCCTCTCCCTGGTTCGTGAAGGCAGCGACTGCAGCCGACATTAACGAAGTCGGATGGGCAGACCTCCCATTCTTAATTTTACTGCTAGATATCGGTACTGACCTTGTAAATGGGTTGGGGCCTTGCAGAGCTGAACTCCGCCTAGTGCTTCGTCTTCTGGTTGTACTGTCAGGAAAGGTAGCTTCGGGCACAACAGGTGGGGGCGTTGGTGGAGCTCGAAGATCGAACTTCAATGATGCCAGATTATAGCCTGTGGACTGAGTAAAAGGAGTCGACCGAACTACTTGTTCGGAGCGATTATAGATTCGGGTTGCACGCTGTTTCATCACCCCACCACCAGAGCCATCGCTCGTACCACTGAAGACTGGAGTCAGATCTGCGTACGCAGGGAGAAACCCGCGCGTGACCAAGTTCAAAACGCCGTGCTTGGCATCCTCCTCGCGCAATTCAGGAGTTGGTACGCTTGGATCAGTTTTGTTGACACTAGGCAACAGACGACAGTGTTGCGTAGTTTTTTTGCGCATGAGACGACCGTGATGAATTCCAAAATGCCGTTCCCACGGCTCAGGCAAAGACTGTCGAATCTCAACGCTGTTGTTGCGAAATTGCTGAAATGAACACAATGAAATGCACAAATACACGGTTACATAAAGATTCCCTTACAGCAAAATGTCTTACTCAAATGCACTTACCTCTCGGAAGAATTCCACGGGAATAGAGCTTGCGTCCATTTGTCGTGGCTTATTAGCTTTATCGTATCCACTTCGGTGCATGATCGAAGGAGCAGCGGCAACCGTGACAGCAGGAAGAAGAGTGCCGCTCTGAGCCTGATTATTTCGTGCACTGCTACTGCTGTTAACCATGCCATTGAGGACAAGTTCCGCTTTGGCCCGAAGTTCTGTCTCAGTCTGTTGCAAGATTGCGTTGAAAGCTTGGACTTCGGCTGTTGTCACAATTGCGTTGTGGCGCATTGGCGATGCATTGGCCTCCACGGCCGCTGCAGCTGCCGTCATCTGCTCTCGCATCACACGAAGCTGCTCCTGTGTCTGCAACAACAACCGGCCCACATCCTCCACATGATGTTGCTGCTGCACCTTGTCCATCGCTCCTGCTTCTGAAGGTAGGCCACTGCGACCAGTTCCAATTTTATCAAAACGCACAAACGTGAGATGCTGCGCTTGTCTACCTGTGCCAAGCTCCGATATTAATAGGGCGACCGACACCGACTTACCTAAGGCGCCGAGCAGATTGAAGCTCACTTCCTGGTGCTCCTTTACCCTCACAAGATCACGTAGTCCACTCGTGCGTCTTTTAGCATGAACATCTTGCGAGTTCCTGAGCACGGTGCGACTGCTTCGGGTGACAAGGCACGACCCACTTCCTGTGAGGGTTATGTGACGAAACGAGGTCATTTCCGAAAGTCTTGGCGTGTGCGATTCCTTGTCGTGGATGGATCCAACCTGCAAGTCTCGTACTATGAAAGTCGCGCTGCTTGTCACCCACCGATAGGTCAACCATCTGCACCCAAAGGGATTTTCTACCTGTCCAGCATTGAGCCACACGAGTATGTCGTAGGAGTCATGGGAGCTGCTGATAAACCATTCGGCTTCAAAATGGTCGGACACGCTCCGAAGAAAGGGTACGTTGAGCTAGACGTGTTTGTAGACACCCTGGCCGATCGCAACAAGTGGCTGGAAGTCGCTCGCAACGCTCTAGGTGCCAAGCGTCAACTAACACGCCAAGCCATCGACCAGAGTGTGAGTCCAGGCAAGAAGAATCTGTTCGGCTTCAGCGTCTCTTTGTCCCCACAACCAGCAATGTCACCGCAGAAGCAGATACAGACACTGTCCAAAAGCAAAGATGAACTGCTCTCGCAAGCTCTACGCGAGCTAGAAGCCGCAAAGCTCGTCGGCCGAGAAGCTTGCAACGAGATCGTCGTCCAGGGAGAGAAGCTCGACGCCATCGAACAAGATCTCAGCGCCATCGACCGCGATCTCGACTTTGGCGACAAACTGCTGCGTCGTCTTAAGAGTCCCACGCTGCATCTCTTCTCGGACGACTCTCGGCCTAAATCCACAGGAAGTTCAAAAGGAAGCTCACCTCAGCGCTCTCACCAGTCTGGTGGTTCCAGTCCAACCCGACTTCCACCTGCTTTGGAAATCAGTAGCGATGCTGGTGTCAGCGACTTGGAGCGACTAGCGCAAGCTCTTGGAGAGCTCGAGGTGCAGGCCGAGCTATTGAATGGCGAGGCAGGACGCAGCTCACAGCAGATTGAACGCATTGAGCATCATCTAACGAACGTCACGACCCGCGTTGAGAAGCAGACTAAACAGGCTTCCGCGACGCTGAGTGCCGGTCCAAGGCTTTTCTAATGAGGTCTACAGTAGCAATACAAAGACAGACATCAGACCCCCCCCCCCACTAAATGCTGTAATCTCTGTATAACGACGTGTCAGATTGTGGTGTGGAGCTGGTTCTTTTGTGTCTAGAAAATCGGGCGAGGTGGGCCGCTCTTGCGGTTCATGAAGTATTGACGCTGTAGAAGCTGGTGGTGGCGCTTGAGACCGCCCTCCATGTCTTGCATCTTCCAGCGTGCGTTCTCCACGCCCTTTTCCTCGAATTCGGCGGCGTTCACGCGTTGTCCGTTGCGATAGATGTAGCGCTGCACGCCTGTATCTACATTATTGACAGCACACGCCGCGTCAGACCAGTCACAAGGAGGGGGCATGATCACAAGAAACTCACTCGATTCGGCGCGGGGTGTGACGATCTTTAAGTAACTAAGCGACGACTGCGCGCGCTGGATGAGTGCCGACACCCTGCATGAGGTAATTAGTTTAGGCAGGGAAATATGTCAAGACAACAACTGCGCACTCTTTGGGGTCCGTCGGGTCTCCGTGGCTGCGGAAATCTCGACGGATCTGGTCGATAGAAGACTGGCGTTTGGGCTCCGGTAGACTCTGCGCCAGACGCAGCAGCTTCTTATACAGCGGACGAAGCTCGCTCATTGCCTCCGCCATCATCTTTTAACCTACTCGGTGTAACCGCATGGGTTACGAGTAACCCGCAAGTTGCGGCCGGATTGTAATCCCTCTCCCAATCATGGACCCGGCTCTGCTTGATGCTAGTGTTTAACGTTGCTGTGGATACAGGAATTGATCGCACTGATGTTCAACTATACCGGTGTTTGGAGTAAGAGATAGCATGGCGGCTCATGTCCTGGACGCTATGTGAACGTAGACCGCGATGCTCGAGCCGGACACCATCTTCGGATATGCACAGATTCGTATGACCTAAACTAGGGAAAATGGAAAGTGTAATTAAACAGTTAGCACTGCTGCCGCTTGGCTTCAACACGAACTCAAGCGGGCTTCAGTTGCTTTAATACGCAAACCTGCGTCACCTAGATTCACTTTGCTCCATATTGTCAACGCGCTTGTCACAGGAGTGCCAGGTCTCATTGACGTCACCTTCAACGTCGTTGAGTACGACTCCAACATGAATCCCAAATCCAACACGCCTCCCTCGAAGGACAGCTTCGATTACTTGTCGTTCTCAACTCCGACCAGTTCGAGCAGGCTCTTCAGACGACTCTTGTCGAGAGGTTTTGTGAATGCGTCCGCAGGCTCGGACCTTGTGCAGCTCCACCACACACTTCTCGACCTGTTCTCTTACGAAGTGCCAGCGTAGCTCGATGTGACGGGTTCGGCGGCAGTAAGTTGGATTCGTTGCTAGAATATGTGCTGCTTGATTGTCGATTCCAATCCTCAGCTTCAATGTTCGTTTCAACAAGATCACCTGGAGGATATTGCTGGCAGCCTTAGCTTCCATGGTAGCCTCACACGCAGCCACGTACTCCGCTTCAGCCGTAGACAATGCCACGATTGTCTGTCTTCTTAACATCCAGGATACCGCTCCTCCAGCCAATGTAAAAACGAAACCTGTTGTGCTCTTTCGGGTCTCTGGGTCGTTGGCCCAGTCACTGTCACAATAGCTTTCCAGTGTCAGTGTCCCCGGCGTATGCGATTTCTTCTTGTGGATTATCCCAGAGTTCACCGTACCCACAAGATACCTCGTAACTCGTTTCAGAGCTCCAACATGCTTGTTCGAAGGTTTCCCTACGTATCTGCTCAGTTCTCCTAACGCGAAAGCCAGATCTGGCCGTGTGCACATGACCAGGTACATCAGCATGCCTATTACCTTCCTGTAGGGAAAACTAGTAGCACTGCTATCAACCTCTCCAAGCGGGACCAGACGAGTGTTCACCTCCATCGGGTTCCCAACTGCGTGAGCGTTACTGTAGCCGAACTTCTCCAATATCTCTTTGGAGTACTTGCTCTGCGATAGAGTCCTCAGTTTGTACCATTTCCACACCAAGATACTGTACTGTTTAAGTAGACCTGGTCTTTAATTCCATACTCTGCGTCGAGATCCTCGAGCAATTTCACCTTGCGCTGCTCGTCATTGGTTGCCACTAAGATATCGTCGACGTACACTAGGACCAGAATGATTTTTTCATTCTCAAATTTGTAGCACAGGCACGATTCCGCTAATGATCTCTGGTATCTGTGCTTCAGTAAGCACTGGTTTAGCTCAGTGCTCCACTCGCGACCAGAATGCCTCAACCCATACAACGCCTTCCTCAGCATGTACATACGACCGTATTTATTACACGGAAATCCTTCGATCGATCTCACGTACTGCCGAATACCAAGGATTGCATTCAGATACGCTATATTGATGTCCCCTCTGTAGAGTTTCAAATTCAGCTGATGAGAGCGTATCCAGAAAACAAATCCCAGGCCCTTGATAGTTGCCGAGCGCCACCAGTCTCGCTTTAAAGCGGAGCACGTAGCCTTGTTGGTCCGATGAGATACCATACACCCACCGAGTTCTTATCGGCTTATCGCCCTTGGGCACCTCCTCGAATGTTATCTCCTCCAACACTCCTCTCGCTCTTATCGAAGCCAACCCCTTCAGCTCGACTTCACACCATAAGTCACTGAACTTGGAGCGGTGTGCCTCGCGGCGGTTTCGCGGAATCTTCACCTCATTTTCCCTGATCGGTCTACCAATTCTGTCCAATACGCGAGCTGTGCTCTGCACCGCGTTCATCACGTAGTCGTCTAAGTATCTGGGACTTCTCCGCTCGTGATATTCGCGTAGTCTTGTGCGAGTCCGTTTGATCTCGTGTCTAGTAGCTCTCTGCTCGGCCCAAAGTTCCTCCGATTGTGTTTTGTTGCACTGTCGCTTTCCCAATTCTCCACAAACGCTAGCAGCTGTAACATCGCCTTCATCAGTATCCTGTCGATCCAATTCTTCAGTAAGATTTCTTTCGTCCTCAAGATCTTCTTCGCTCTCAAGTTCCTCACTGTTTGTCAGAGATCGCACGCAGTAGCAACCGACTCAGCGTCCTACACCGTCACAGATAACTCCTGATCATGTTCCAGCGACATAGTATGCCTATTCATCGATTCAGAGTACTGCGGCTTCTGGTCACTCGACACAGAGTAGCCCTTGTCCTCTGTTGCTTGTACTTGCTGTACTTCCCCGCATCGTGCTTCTTCACCACCTTGTTCACTCTGAGTTGCAGATAACTTGTCTTGCTTCGGTGTCGATGGCTCACTCGGCAACGCATGAGTATATTGAGGGGTACCGGTTTCAGGCGGTAAGTACCCATAAGCCGGTAACCAAACCGGTCCAACACGATCCCGCGATAATTACGGTACGTTGATTAGACGAGTAGGATGATTGGACGAGTGCAGAATGTTGGTGATAGGATGCACCAATTGATTGGATCACCTAGGTAGTGAGGACTGTGTAAGCTCCGATAAATCAATCACTTCGGAATCTTCCTTCTTCCCCTCAAGTGTCTTCGCTCCGGTCTACTCCCCGAGTGGTGACTCTTCCCTTCGCTCCGTTCAAGCACAACATTGCATAAAACCCGTGACCTCTATCAGGTTATGAGCCCAAGTAACATGTCCTCTGCGCAAGACGTTTCAACTAAGGTCTCCATCGACAAGTTCAACGGTGACAACTACGCGACGTGGAGCCGCTACATGCGTGGTGTGCTCCTGACCAAGTCAGTATGGCATGTCGTGAACCGAGAGACGACTCCAAGCTTCACGGACCCTCGTGCGAAGGACGAATATGTCAAGTCGAGCAACATCGCGTTCGGATTGATGCTGCTCCACATGGATGCGGACTACCACCACGTGGTCGACAACTGCGAGGAAGCGTGGACCGCGTGGGCGCGCTTGAAGACGTTGTACAGTGGATCGCAGAAGGCTGGTCGTATCTACCTGAAGCAACAGCTCTTCAGCATGGAGATGTCTGAAGGCGCGAACATATTGCATTACTGCAATGAAGCTCTCAACATCAGCGCCAAGCTTAGTAGCATCGGCGCTAAGATGGAGGACGAGGACGTTGCGATCTGCTTGTTGCGCAGTCTCCCCAAGAGCTACGAGAACGTTGTGCTACACCTGGAGATGCGTACTGCTGAGCTGAAGACGCAAGACGTTGTGAAGGTGCTCACGAACGAGCATATCAAGCGACAAGGCGAGAAGACCTCTGCGGTGAAAACTGAAGACGCGGCGAAGGCGTTCAGCTCCGAGCGGGAGTCTCGCCAGTGTACTTACTGCGGAAAATTGGGGCACGTGATTGAGAAGTGCTGGACCAAGCAGAAGGATGAGAATCGAGGAGGCCGACGCGGCGGCAACAGTCGTGGACGCGGGGCCAACAATGTCCAGTTGCGAAACGACGACTACGACCACGGCTATGATCGCGTGGCATTTGCGGTTTCGTCGGAATGTGGAGTTTTGACGGGCAAGAGTATGTCCGGGCTGTGGGCAGTCGACAGCGGTGCGACACACCATATCTGCAATGACAAGATTAAGTTTGTCATGCTGAACGAACGAGAGGAAGGCGAGCTGAAGGTCGCTGATGGCACTAACGTTGCAATCAAGGGTGTGGGGACCATCATCGAGTGCATGGCTCTGCCCAACGGCGATGAGCGCGAGATCGAGATCAACAACGCGCTCAACGTGCCGAAGATGAAGAATAACTTGCTATCAGTGCCGCAGATCAACAAAAGCGGCAAATTTCAAGTGGTGTTCGACGGTGAAACCATGCACGTTGCGCACAAGGATTCGAAGGAAGTGGTGGCTACAGCAGATCTGGTAGACGGTCTTTACTGGCTGCGCACACCACTATGCTCGATAAACTGGTACAAAGCACATGGAATTGAGCATGTACTAGTCGTACCCAAGAGTTCACAGCTGGACTTATGCGAAAGAACTCATCAGTCTCTCATCGAGATGATGAAGACGACGATTCACCAGACCGAATTTCCTAGCAGTCTGTGGCCAGGGGCGCTACGTAACGCGGTGTATGTTAAGAACCGTATTTACAACAAAGGCACGGAGGACATTCCATAACAGATGATGTTTGGTGTGAAGCCAGATGTACATCATATACGCAAGCTCGGTGCATTCGCGTACGTACATGTTCCAGTCACACCAGGACGGAAGAAGCACCACGATAACGCTAAAGTCGGATACGTACTAGGCTACGCGGAGGACGTCGTAGGTTCTAAAGTCTATTTCCCGGACAGTCGCACAGCAACGTTTGTAGCAGACCTGAGCGTGACAGAAGAGGTAACGTTCGGCGACAGACACACATCGAAAGACATGTTTGACTTGGAGTCGTTACACTTTACTGGGGAATCGATCATCCAGAGCGTAGACCGGATCTCGATTGAATCGACTATGAAATTGGCCGATGAAATCTCTAGCGTTGCTTCCATGAAAAACCGAGAACCTGGTCGACGCGACCATAGATCTCGAGGAAGGCGAGGCGTGCGCAACGGCTAGAAGAACGGAGCAGGCGAGAGCAAGGGCAAATTCTACAGATGTTAAGGGCATTACTCTGATAGAGGTCACGGGTTTTAGGCAACGTTGTGCTTGTACGGAGCGAAGGGAAGAGTCACCACTCGGGGAGTAGACCGGAGCGAAGACACTTGAGGGGAAGAAGG